CTCCCCCGCCGCGTCACTGCTGGTGTGGGGGGGGGGCTCGGCTTGGCGCAACATGTCACAATAATTTATTGAAGATTAAAAGCTTATATCTTCATTATCCAACGTTCTCTTTCCTCTTATTTTCTCGGACACAAATATCCTCCTAAGCTCCATGTTCTCAGATTCAGTCTTTGGGTTTTCTTTTGCCGCTTATAGCGTAGTGGTTACTATATGAACCACCTGCTTCAATATAAAAATAACTCTGCATTTTGCCCACAGAGGATATTTACGTGTATATGATCCGTAGGTTTCTCGCAATAAACAGCGATTATTTCCCTGAACAGCATTAACCGGTTGGGCTTTGTAGCGGAGACATAATGTGTTTCCTGTGAGGTACGGACTGAACTCTTCATTCTGCCCACAGTGTATTCATGTGTTCCGTATGGTTCTCACAATAAACAGCGACTGTTTCCCTAAACAGCATTAGTCGGTTGGGCTTTGTAGCGGAGACGTAATGTGTTTCCTGTGAGGTACGCACTGAACTCTGCATTCTGCCCACACAGTGTATTTATGTGTTCCGTATGGTTCTCACAATAAACAGCGATTATTTCCCTAAACTGTATTAACCGTTTGGGCTTTGTAGCGGAGACGTAATATTTACTGTGAGGTACGAACTGAACTCTGCATTCTGCCCACACAGTGTATTTACGTGTTCCGTATGGTTCTCACATTAAACAGTGATTATTTCCCTAAACAGCATTAACCTGTTTGGCTTTGTTATGGAGACGTAATGTGTTTCCTGTGACGTACGAACTGATTTTTTTCATATAATTTAGTTGAGTTCCATGTTTCAAAAGACTGAAAGAAGAACACGTGAACATTTACTATGTTATTTTGAATATAAGACGCACGGTGTACACATTGTTTATCGTTGAAAATTGAGGTGCGTTTTTTCCTATAACCTACATTCAAAACTGGTTGCATCTTAAATTCCATGGCGTCTTATATTCGAAGTAATAGGTATTATATCGAATTGTACTTTCTGTAGAGGATGAGGTGGGATCTGTTCAGATTATCCTCCTGTGATATAGTTCCAAGTATGCAGAACATCTACATCAGTCACTGAAAAATGATATATCACTTATTCAATATTGAAATGTATTTTAGAGGAATTAGTCCCATAACTGCTTCGATTGATGTGGGCAGAAGCTTGTAGCTTATCTCAGCATACGCAGTACTCTGACTTGTGTTTATTTGATACAATTTTTAACAGACTTCGATTTCGTATAAGCCCTAGTACCTGCACTGTCTTATCCGTTCAGATCCCGAAGATTCTTCCATATCGGTTGTTCATTGACGCGGAAATTGGGTTGAAACTTTATCTCGGTTTCGTTTAAAATAGTTACGAAGATCTATCTAAAAATTGTCAGAACTTTGGTGAACAAGAGCTATAAAGGTCCTTCGTTTAAGCTTATATCCTGCGAAATGAAGCAAGACACTTCATACGAACCGATAGCAGTGGTTTCCGATATTGGGAACTGTGTGAATCAGTTTCTGTCAAAACTTCCTCTAAATGCAACTGAGATATCTTATATGGGAACAGATCTGAGATAATCTGAATGCTTCAAAATACGAAATTAATATTCTGAATAATACAATTTATTTTCAAAATTGCCACAGTATTTTAACTACAGTATTTTATATTCATCAGGCTGCTCATATATATAGGACACAGTGCTTTCCAAGATGGCGTGGCGGTAACGCTCCACACGTATTCGGGAGGTGCTCGGTTTGAATCAAGATGGGATACCTGCTATACTGGCCGGGGCTCTTTGTCGTTTCTCCTAGGCAAATTTCGGAATTGTCTCAATAACGTTACCATCGCTTCCTTACAAATCCTTCGACTTGCTCACTCAACAATCCATGTATAATCTAGATGCTAAGATAAGAGCTGTAGAAGAGATATTGACGGCTTGGAAACCCGAGGAATCAGGATTCCGTTCTTAATATTGATAGTAAAATTTCTGTCCACAACGCCCAGATGGGTTCTGGAGCCCACCCAGCCTCCTATCGTACGGGTACCTGCGCCTCTTTCAGCGGAGGTAAAGCTACCGGGGAGTGAAGTTGGCCACTGAGGCTAAGAATGCATGGAGTTATACCTCCACTCCTCGCATAAGTCTTCATGGCAGGGTGCTTAATTAAGCAGAGAGACAGAATTAAATTTGACGCCGTGATTGAGGGGATGAGGACGTTGGCAGGAGCACATAGGCCTACCTGGACGAGGTCCCCCATGTCACCCCCCGCCGCCTGGAAGGTGAGGTGGCACACGAACGGCATGCGGTCCTCACGAGGTCGATGCAGCTCCAGCTCGTAGGTCTTGCCGACGTCTCCGTAGTAGGTGCGGTTGCAGGCTGCAACAGCAACCACAAGCGTCTCTGAGGCATCTGGGACAGAGAGGGAGGTCTAGGACACAAGCCTCCTCTGGCCTCCTTACTAGGCACTATACTGTGTCTTCAACATCTCTGATGGTGCGCCACCCTTAAGTAGTCAAGTACAATGTTAAACAGTCTTTGGATTTTGTTTTCAACAGAACCACCACGCCGCAAATCTAATTAAACACACACGACATACCTCCCATAAAATGTGAAAAAGTAAAGCTATCCCTGTAACAAACCGTGGAGGCACATAGGTTTGTGAGACGCTGAGTGTCCAGCATTTTCTAAATAGTCAGCTCACAGATGGCGGTGAGATTGTCAGCCTTACGTGCCGGCCAGCCACCCTTTACCCCCCAGGAATATTCTTGGTACTCGTTTCTGTTAGAGGCTGAGTCCCGTAAGGTTTCCTATTCAAGGTGTGACGTACAGTCAGAGATGTTTAGACACTGTTTATATTACGTCACCACAGCAAATAATTGAACATTTCTGAACGGGAATATACGTCCATAAGATTGCCGCAATAAATAAATGATTTTATTGTCTCAGTAGAGTTCATTTTACGAAAAGTGCAGGCGAAAGAGGACGCTTTCTCCCGTAATTTACGTATAAAGAGTTACAGAAAGTAAGTAAGTAAGCGTAGACAAATTCCGTATATAACGTCAGCTTTCACTGGCAAGACACATAGTATGTATTCAACGTGCTGTGGCTTAGGGGCAAGGTCCATTCATTTCACGGAGTGTGCTTGGTGCCGTGTTCCTGTAAAATGTACCCTCGATAAATCAGAGAAAACCCGCTGCTTGTATGGAACTTTATGTTTGTGTACGCCTCCTGAATCGACTGTTGCAGGTCTGCTACTCCGGACAGTATAAAGTTAGCCGTTCCACTATATGGCGGCACACACTCAAAGAAACACAGAATTCACGTGTTTTAATTCCAGTATCCAACAACTCTCACCGATATTACAGATGTTTATCTTCCATCAGCATGAAACAAATTGTGTTAAATCGTCTAATATTCCATAGGCCTGTTTTATATCGCATTCTAGACCACACATTGCGCAAACACGGGAACCCGAGTATAAGACAGACTTTGAACAGATTAATCCACTGACCGAGTCTAACCCTTTAAAACACAGTGGTAACTGTATGTACCACCTACTTTAACATTGGAAATCTCTTCATTTTGTCCACACACCGTATTTGTGTTTTCCATATGGTTCTCACAATAAACAGCGACTGTTTCCCTAAACAGCATTAACCGGTTGGGCTTTGTAGCGGAGACGTAATGTGTTTCCTGTGAAGTACGGACTGAACTCTGCATTCTGCCCACACAGTGTATTTATGTGTTCCGTATGGTTCTCACAATAAACAGCAATTATTTCCCTAAACAGCCTTAACCGGTTGGGCTTTGTAGCGGAGACGTAATGTGTTTCCTGTGAGGTACGGACTGAATGATTACATATTTAGACGACTTTTAGATTCCCTGTCTCTACCCGTGTGGAGGCTGGTTCGAATACCACCACCGTGCCCCTGTGAGTCGTAGGAGGCGACGGAAAGGCACCCACTGTCGGGAGGGTATAACTGGGCCACCCTATTCCTAAGCAATAAAAATATGGGAACCTGGCCTCCAAGGTTTGGGGATCCGGAATCTGAAGCAGTGAAATATGGTCATGAGTCCCGCGGGACTCGTACCCGAGAATGACTGCGCTGGCGGGGTCCAGAAGAAATTGTAAACTACAGACTCATCCTCCCGTCAGAGACGGCGCCCGACTTCAACAAATATGTAACTGTCTGACAGTTACAAAAATCTGGTGTTTGGCCCCCCCAATGGGGTCATGAAACCAAGACAGAATGGCCGAGAGACTGTCGGTCGTAACATAAATTTGACTTCGAGAACCTTCTGACAAACAGAAACAGCAGGGGAAGCTATTCATGCTGGACCCAATACTGACGCCTCATGGCAGTTTTACTGAAAACTGCAGCTGGACTGCAATGAATTCCTGGCAGGATTCAGGCTTGCGGATGTTTCTTATCTGCCGGACTGCAACTGGAAAGTCCCGCGACCGGCCATCTCGACACGGATTCTGCTGGTTCTCCTCTATCTTCAGACAAATACTGAGATGGTTCTCACGCCGGCCTTCCGATATGAATTAATCAGAATTAATCTTCTTGCTCTGGAGATCCCAAAATAACCTTTCAAATTCCGCTTCCACTGTCCTGTATCGCTCTGAGAATCCTGCTCTTTCTTCGGGTTGACGGAATTCGCGTTGGACAGAAGGGGACAGGGGACGTGAATTGCTATTTCTTGTGATGTATTTTAGGGCACTGTCAACATCTTGGCACTGTAGCGTCCGATAGTGGAATGACAGAAGTGTGATTAATTTAAACTGATTTGGAATAAAGGGGTCCTGACTTAGTGAACGTACTATTTCGAAATTTGCCTGTAAACACTAGAGAAAACAGTAGGCTAGACGGTGTCTCGGCCGAGGTTCGAACCGAGCACCACTCGAATTCAAGTGTAGAGCCTTAACGCTACCAGTCTCGCTCAGTGAACTGTTACTGTTTCTCCCACGCCGTGTGACAGGCCTCGTACAGGGACAGTTAAAGAAAATTCTTTATAGTGTGAAAGTTCGCGATCGAAAGCGATTTGTCATGCCGAGAGGAAAGCAATACAATCATAGCAATGTGTCACGTGACCATGTTGTGTTCCGGACAGCTCGTGCCACACGTGATGTATGGCAGGAGCCCAGCGCCCACAGCCCATTATGCGCTAGGCACATTGTTTGTAGAGGGGTCATAATAGTTCATAACAATTCGAGATATTTTGGCTTGTTTAAAGCATTTCGCTTCAATGGATGTCCGCTTAACATTCCAGGACCTGGAAGCTCAGTCTGTGTCAGTGTAGTAAAGCAAATATGTAAGATATTGTCACGCTTAGGCACAATAGATCACTGTCGTCGCGGTGCAAGGGCCAAGAAGGCTCACCCCTTATACATTCATTATTGTCACGCTTCTGAGTGTGACTGGAAACGACGTTTGGATTGGTAATCGGATTTACTGGGCACTCACAATCGTAACTACAATTAACTACGATAGTCTCACAAATAAACATACTCCAAAGATCACTGTATCTACAGCATACATAATGTCTTCTCAATATTCACTAGCCGTTGCTTGGCAGCGGCTTCCAAAAGTGGAAGTTCCCCTTCCTCTGGGTTTTCGAACTGTCCCCGGCCTAAGCTTCTCATTTTTCGCAACTCTAACTTCAGCAAAAAAAAAAGTTAAAGTTACATTGCGACTGACCGTCAGTCAGTAAGTCTTGGTGCTGAGCAACGCCTGGGGCTCATGCCCATATATATATTACCGTTTAACAGTTACGATCTTGTTCTTGTGGGGCTCCCTCTCTGACGAGAGTACGGGTCTGTCTTTTGTATATGCTGCTGGCTCTTGCCAGCGCAGTCTTTCTCGGGTCCGAGTCCCTTGGGACTCGCGAGCAAATTTTACCCAAAGTCAAAGTTACTTTACGACTGGCGGTTTACCGCCAATCTGTTCGTCTTGGCGTCATGCCACTTGAGGACCACGACCAGAGATCTTTTTTTTCTTCCCAACTGAACTCTTGCGGTAACAATCCTTATGTAAAATCCTCTCTGAGGAGAAGATTGGGTTGTCTCTTATGAATACGCTTGGCCTTCCGTCAAGTGTATATTTCGCACACATATATCATGTTATTGAAAATTCTTCCTTTTGCACTACGCACAAGTCCTCTGTCAGTACAGACTTAGAGAGCAGACCATGCCTAACTTACATATCTTATGATACAACTTAATCAACTTAGCCATTTGAACGGTCGTAAGCTTGACCACCGTCAAGTTAAAGCCTCTTATATTTTATCCGAACTACTGATCCTCATCATATAACCTCGGCATGGACCGCACAGAAAACCTTTCTTCCATTATTCCGTGTTCTCTCGTTACCGGGGAAATAACATGTTGACAGAGCTGTTCCTTAGCAACGGCTGTTGTATTGTCGTCTGTTTACAGAGCTGTTACTTGGCGATGGGTCTACAGGTCACAGTATCGTTTTCCCACTCTCGGAAGACTACTCCACCCTGAAGAAGGCAAGGATCTAGCAGTCTACAGGGCGTCACATCCCAAACTATAGTGATCCTCACAATCACGGCCATGAGGCCTTCACGTGTCGCAACCCCAGATGAGTGCTCAACACCAAGACAAGCTGGTCGACTGAACGTCAGTCGTGACATAACTTTGATTTTGGGATGCCGATTCTGCTGAGAGTTGCAGCTGTGAGAAGTGAGAATCTGTTAGCTGAGGCCGGGGACAGTTCGGGAACCCACAGGAAAGGAAACGTCTGCTGTTGGAAACCGCTACCAAGCAGCGGCTAGTGAAGACTGAGAAGGCTTTGTGTGTGCTGTAGTTACAGCGATCTCTGGAGTGTGTAACTCAGACTGTAGTAATTTGTAGTTACGAGTTTTCCTAAGAGTTCAACTTCATAATATGCTGAGTAGCCTTTTCCCTCTCATTATTAAGCACCAAACCATGAAGACATATAGCGAAGTTGAGATACAATTCCACTCATTCCTAATCTCAGCGCGAGATGTAAGTGCGTGGTGAGTTGCACTCTCCAGTCCTCTTTACCCCTAGGGGAATGAACGGAGGTATCTTTGGATAGCAGTTTTCGTGGGTACGCAGGAGCCGTCTGGAGAGTGTGGAAAAGAGAAAGACATCTTGCCTCTGCCGGAGTCGAACCCCGATTCCCAGGTCGTCAAGCCCAGAGCCCATAAGTGTGACTGAGGTATATCGGCTTCGTTTTCAATACAATTTCTTTTAATTTATTTGGTTGTTTTTCATAGACTACTCTAGATAACATGATAAGATGAAGTTACAGGAAGAAATGGCACAGAAATGGAACGTACGGGTAATTGAATAGAGGCCCGGATCGCTGGAGCAGGCGGTCGAA